AGAAGTCAATGGCAGTTTTGTAATTTAAAAGAAGTTAAAAGCCTTTTTGTTATGTTGTAAATGGATTTTGGGTGTGTTTCTAAAGTCCGTTTCTTATAGGGTTTTTTATTTTTTTATTTTTATAGTTTGGGCTCTTATATTTGGTATAATAGTGAATCTCCCTAAACTTTATTGTAAGATTCACATTATGGTTACGTGGAAGATTATCTCTAACATAACTCATTTTGCTTAATTTAGTCGACGAAAATGTAACCTATTAAATTAGCTATATATTTTTTTTATACATGCGATATTCTACTTTAATCTAATCTAAGCTACGGAGAGTGGGATTCGAAGTCGAGTGTAGAGTGAGGAGTACATCCGCTCTAGCCAACTTGACTAAGCAAATATGCGACTAGTTACATTTTTTTGTTAATTCACGATCTGAATGCAATTGTTAATGAACTTATAAATGCTGAAAAATACTTCAAACTAAGAAGTTAACACTCTTTTATCATTTTTTAAATTATTTAGGAAAATTGAAATGATCAAGTACCATCATCACTTTGCCATTGACCATTAGCCATGGTGTTTGTCGGCATCCATGGGGAAGATAAGAAAGCAAGGAGGAAAGGGGATACAAATGTAAGGTGGGATGCTTTTAATTTTGGTAAAGGATAAAATGCCCATGCCTTATTTCTTTATCGTTACAAAAAATTATACTGTAAATCACCAATCTCAATAAATAGAAAAACAAAGAAAAAAACCGCAAATCACATGTATCAAATAAATTCAAATATTCATGCATTTGTAACTAATTTCATACTCGCAATTTTATTATATGTATTTGACGAGTTTTGCAGCTTAGTTGTTCATTGAGATGTATAAACGGCAATTAAGTATTTACTTTGGATTTTAAAAAAATTACTTTTATTAACAAAAAAAGGGGTTGTTTTTGTTGTGACAACGACTATATATATATCCTAAAAGCTTGGGGCAATGTTTATTATTGCCAATATTAGTAGCACCGAGTACAATTTTTATTTTCATTTAATGTTTTTTTTTTTGGTCTGAGAAAAAAAACAGTGAATGTTGAGCTGTCCGATTACAGCACAATCAGAGAAGTGAGTAAATTTGATGTCCCCATAATTGGTGGAAAAAAGTGTGAAAATTACATTTAAAGTTGACCCAGAAATTCCATGATAAGCCAATCTTTCATTGACTTTGTTTTTGCACTAATTGAGAGGCCATTGCTCTACAAGACCAAGAGGCCAATGTATTATAGATCTGAGTTTCCAAAAATATCTACTCTTTTATGCCCCCAGTCTCATAATATCTAGTGAGAAATTTTAAGTTTCAGCAAGCACAGCAGTTGCATTTAATGCATCCATAGACTATTAACAATTTAATACTTGAATTGAATGAAGAAAATTACTAAACTCAAAAGCATCCTCAGCCAAAAAGCTTGGCGATGGAGAGGGCCAAGGGTTAAAACAAGAAAGACACCCCTAAGCCTAACAAACTCAAAAGCGTCCTCAGCCAAAGGCTTGCAAAGCAAACAGCTCAAATAAAATGAAATTTTGAATTTAGGGATATCGGCTTGATCTACAGAGCCCTCTGCTTTATCATCTCAACATCTTTGCCATATAACATACATATCCCACACTTTTCCACCCGAACGGGTTCAGGTTTGTAAAATATACCAGTCAGTGCGGTGAAGTCAACATTGACCTCAGTAACAAGTTTGTAAAATGCAGCGAGGCTTTGAGCTCCCTCTACAACTTCTTCAAAGACATTATTATCCCACCACACATACACGTCATGTGACTCACTGCCATATACAAGGTACGAAGTATCCAAATGATGGTTGACTTCGTGGCTTTCACCATTACTAGTTTTGAAGTTGTACTTGCATCCAACCTTCATATCATATCTAGTAACAGCAACAAGAGATAGAGCGAAACCCAAGAAATCTGAGCAAAACCAATCACGAGGAAGCTCAATCTTTATTGAACATCCCTCACTCTTATGGTTGAACCAATTTGGAATTTCATTTCCGGGATAACAAATGGCAACATAAGATCTATTGCGTAACGATTCCTGTACCATGGATATGGACATCATAGTTATTAAAGTCGTGAAAAACAAACAGCAACTTCTTCAACACACAGAGAGAGAGAGAGAGAGAGAGAGAGAGAGAGAGACCTTATTTGAATAATATGATGCTTCTTCAATTTTGTCTTCTTTAAACTTTGACGACGCAGTTGCCATTCGCATAATTCTGAGCTGAGCATCACCCATTATGTTGCTTCGTGCATTCTCATCCAACTTTGGGCAATTAGAAAATATATGGTACTCATAAAGCCCTACATAAAATCTGTATTCTTCCAAACCTTGTATGATGTCAGTGCTTGTACTTGACACTGTCTTCAGTGACGAGCAACCATCTGCTTCAAGACGTTGCAGCGATGGGGGGAACTCTGATATAGATTCAATGCTCTTGCAACCATTGAGGCACAGGCAAGACAGTTGAGCAGCTTGTTTAACGCTTGCAGGTATGCTCTTAATTTTGGTCTTACTCATATTTAACTCTTGTAATGAGGTTAAGCAAAAGAGGTCATCAGGGATTTCTTGTATACTGCACGCAACCAGGTGTAATTTTCGAAGCGCAACTAGATTTCCAATTGATGGGGGTACCTCTTTAACTGCTGTACATGATAAATTTAGAAACTCCAGATGTTCCATAGCCTCCGAGATTTCTGGTAAGTGTTGAAAGTTACAGCAACCATTGAGATCAAGGCTCTCCAGATATTTCAACTTCCAAATGTTCGTTGGGAGACTCACAAAGTTAGAGCAACCACAAAGATCTAAATTTCGAAGCGCAACTAGATTTCCAATTGATGGGGGTACCTCTTTAACCGCTGTCTCTGATAAATTTAGAAACTCCAGATGTTCCATAGCCTCCGAGACGTCTGGAAAGTGTTGAAAGTTAAGGCAAAGACTGAGATCAATGCTCTTCAGAGATTTCAACTTCCAAATGCTCGTTGGGAGACTCACAAGGCTTTTGCAATAGATCAGTTTAATTGCAGTGAGACCAACAACAGACTCTATTGATGTATTCCTCAATTCTTTTATTGATGTACTACTCAAGTCTAGCATTGTTGTACCACTGGGAAGCTCCCAAAACTCGCAAAGAGATTTGCAGTCTTCTAGACTAAGATAACTCAAGAGTTTCAGCTTACAACTGTTGCTTGGAAGACTCTTCAGGTGTCTACAATATTTAATATCTAAGTGAGATATTTTTTCGTGAGACCAAACTGATGAAGGCAATTCCTCTATTGCTGTCGAAGGCAAATTTAAGAATTCAAGATTGCATGGCATCTCGGGAAGATTTTTGAGAGATGCGCATTCCTCAAGGTCAAGATAAGTAAGCTTGCTAAGATGTTGAAAATACGAAGGAATTTCAACCAAACTTCGACAACCTTTCAGATTTATATGCTCAATTTTCCGACTCCGAGAGAGATTTGGGACTTCAATTAGATGTTTGGAGAAAGAAAGATTGATCCGTTTTAAGTTCACAGGACTCTGTAACAAATTAAACAAGAATTAATAATTTAGCTTGCAGATTATTACTTTCTAGGCCACATGTTATACAAGAACTAAAATAAGCATATATAATATACCTGGTCTTCATTCCAAAGTTGCCCCTCAACTTTGCTGTACCACATATCAAGGACAACAAGATTTTGAGTAGAAAATTTTGATGGCAAAGATTTCCAAGGATAATGCCTCCACTCAAGACATCTAAGAGAATTGGGAAGATCAAGAGAAACAATATTGCGACGACCTTGAATTCCCTCAAGACTATAAGGTCTGACACATAGGAATCTCAGTTGATACATCTTTTTGAAGTTTGCATATTCCAACTCCAAGTGTAGTTTTTCAATCTTATACAAGTCAAGGGATATTGCTTGAACATGTCCATCTCTCTGACAATCAAGAGCAAAATATAAATGTAAATATAATATACAAAATTACATTTGTAGGAATAATCTGGCTTGTTTATTGTAAATGTGAATATTACTATGTACCTGGTTATTTGTCAATACTTGATAGACATCCTCATCATTGAACAACCTACTGCGTTGTTCTCGAGCAATTGCCCTACCCATTTCTTGCACCAAATCATGCATCTCTATACGTTCTTTTGACCATCTTCCTTTTGAAATTGATATGAGAGACCTATCAATAAGATCATTGATTCCTGTTTCCCCAAAGAAATCACAACTATCTAACATTCTTTCTACATCTTTCCTCTCATGGCCTTTATGAAAACATGCTATATCAAGAAATATCTCCTTCTCATTTTTTCCTAATCCATCGTAACTTATTCTCAACACTTGATCGATTTGTTCGTTTGGAAATTGTTTCACTTTTTTCCATTGAACTTCCCACTCTTGTTTGCTCTTGCAACGACGGAATGAGGACCCCATAACTTTAAGAGCTAATGGAATGCCCTTAATATAATCCACCACCTCTCTTGACAACTTAGGATGATCTGTTGTTGGAGACTTATTTCCAAAAGCATGCGAATGAAAGAGCTCAAGAGCTTCATCAGAATCTAATCTCTCAACATTATATATCTTTTCATGGTCAACTTTTTGCTGAAGTAGGCCTTTATCTCTAGTAGTTATAATGATTCGACTTCCTTGGCAAAACCGATCATCATCACCAACAAGAACTTCTAGTTGGCTTGGATCATTCACATCATCAAGAACAATGAGCGCCTTTGTACGCATGAGCCTATCTCGAATAGAAGTTGGTCCTATAGACAGAGTGCCGATGTTTATATCTTTGTCCTTTAATATCTCACGAACAAGTTCATTTAGCAACTGATTTAATCCACCCGTTTGTTCTGATTTCTCCCTTACATTTGCAAGAAAACAATAAGCTTCAAATTTAGAGGCAAGCCTGTTAAATACAGCAGTAGCGAGGGTGGTCTTGCCAATACCACCCATGCCCCAAATACCTACACAGCAAACACATGGTGAATCCAAGCACAATAACGACTCAATTTTCTCAATTTTCCCTTGAATTCTAAACAGGCCCCTTAAATCACTTGACAATTCGCGATTCAATTTGGTCAAAACATCTTGAACAATGTCCTCAACAAAATCGGCCTCTGTCCTCCTGGCAAATATCGTTATGAAAGACAAACAATCGTATGAGTACAGTATGAATCAAATAATAAAAAGTAGAAATTGATACAAATTAGAGATTTAGTTACCCTGTTTTGCTGGAATAATGAAACCCAGACATATTGGCTGCTTCCTCCAAAGCAGCCCTCCAGTTGGCCACCTCATCCCTACTGCGCTTAAGTGGACGATCTTCAAGTGCATAAGTTCCCCGCTGTTTTCGTACATCTGATGGATCTATGCGATAAAAAATGGGTATAACAACAATCTGTCCATGGCTTTTCTTGCATTCTAGTATATGCACAAGTTCTTTCAAACACCATGTGGAAGAAGCATAGTCTTTTGAGAAAATGACTAGTGCAATTTTCGATT